CCATTCTGAATCGAATGAGACCAAATTTGGAAAAAGTATGTGTGTGTGTGTGTGTGTGTGTGTGAACAGATTTTTTGCCGTAAATCGACGTTTTCTCCAAAACGGCTGGAGCGATTTCAAAAATTTAAAAGCCATTTGAAGTATCTCGATGAGGACTATCGTCTCTGAGTTTTGTGCGGCGGATTGCAGAATCGATTCTGAAAATTCAAAAACCATTCGATAGATATTGGTTGGGAATCGTGCTGATTAGTTTTTGGTAAAGATTGGCCGGGCCGTTTTCTTATTAACTCGTTTAGCTTTAAAAATTCGTCAAAGTTTGCAAAAATTGGTATAGTTTTTTTGACATTTGTCAAAATTAGACTTTTGATCGACGTTTTCTCAAAAGCGCCTGAACCGATTTCAGAAATTTAAAAGCCATTTGATGTATTTCGGGGAAGACTATCGTTTGTCAGTTTTGTGCGACGATCAGCCAAGCCGTTTCTTTGTAATTTGAAAAAAAGTGTTAAACTTTTCGTCCACATTTAAGCTCATCCTACCGAACCAATTTTAAAAAATCAAAAACTGTTCGAAAGATATTAGTTGGGAATGATACTGATCAGTTTTAGGTGAAAATCTACCGAGCCGTTTTCTTGTAATTAACCGTTGAAAAAAAAATTTAAGCCGATTTTTATGGATTTTTTTTTAGCGATATATACTATGGTCTTATAGAACTTACTGAAATATTACGGCCTTAAGACAAATAGTTTGATTTTAAAAATTCATCAAAGTTTGAGAAAATGAGTAGCTCTTTTGACATTTGTTAAAATTAAAATTAGACTATTTACTTGGTATAATGATAGAGTACTTGGTCTTGAACATAATAAATCATTAAAGTCCTGAAAACTGGTTCAATTATAAAAATTATTGATTTTTGAAAATTTGCTTTTAGAAAATACTCCGAGTTCGTTCGTTTTCAATTATGTGTAATAAATCCACTCGGAATACTTTTAATGACTCATAAATTAATTTATTTTTTATTGATTAAGTCGATTATTTAAATATATCGGGAAGTTCATGTAACTTGCCTCAAGGCTAAATACCAAACCAACTAGTTATGTTATGTCCTCATGGAATAAGACTTTTCTTAGAGAATAAATGTGTCATGGAATATAATAAATTTATATTGAATCTCGTTGAAGACAAAATAATATCTACTGCCACGGATATTTATGTAGGTTGCCATGCGACAGATCAACAATCATACATTCGTCAGCAGTTTCACAAAAATCGGTTATTGATACCGGGGGTTTGCCGTATGAAATAATTTTAGTTCTGAATAAATTTTACACAATAACAACTAATATTGATGTAAGTGATGGCTTAGCTAATGGCTGTGTAGGAAAATTAGTGTACATAGAATGTGGCGATAATGATGAACTTCTACGTGTATGGTTTGAATTTCCTGGTAAGATAGGTAACAAAATAGGAAGAAAGCTGTACATCATATTCAAACTCTTAATATCAGTAGGACAGCTGTGCCGATTCTCAGGAGATCTTCATCTATTCCAATGAATAGAAATAAAATCATATTTGCCAAAAGAAATCATTTTCTTTAATGCCATTAATTCTTGCTGGAGATTTCAATGTCAATTTTCGTTCAGAAGAATCTCAACCATTAATTGATTTTTTAAATAATAAATTTAATTCAACAATGAATAATTCTCCATTTGAATCAACCACAAGATATGGCACGACTATTGATGCAGTTTTCTCCAGAAATGTACATAGTTTACAAAGCAAAATTTATGTCTCTCATTTCAGTTATTACAAACCTATTATATCATATATGAAATATGATAGCAATTAATCTATCGCTGTTGTTTCAAACAGTGTTATTGATGTTATGTGATTATTAATAAATGATTTTTAAAATTCAAATATGATGTTTTTTTATTTTTATCTTAATTGCCTACTCATACAATATTAAAAGTTTTACTTCAATCGCGTGTGATCCTTACGCGCACTCTTTTTTTTTATTATCATTTTTTATATTTATTATTATTATTATTTATATTATTATAATATTGAATTAAATTAAAACATATTTTTTATATTTATGAAAATTTGTGTTCACACATGTTTTATCACAGTAAATATTTCGCGGCTTGATACGAGTTGATTCGAATCAAGTAAAATCTGATTCGAATCAAGTCGTTAAAGGCTTGATTCGAATGATTGGAATCACTTGATTCGACTTGGCACATCACTAATATATATATACACATAATACGTATATATATATATATATATATATATATATATATATACATACACAAATATACACGGAAAAAGTAGTTTATGCGTACATTCCCGAGGCAAAAACAAATCGCATTTGGGCGAACGTGACTTTGAGGTATTTTGGCCCACTGGCGGTCAACGGCTTTTTTTAGCGCCTCGAGACTTATGTACCTCTTAGTTCGGACCTTGCTCTCCAAAATGGCCCAAAGAGAATAATCCATAGGACGTTATGAAGCTCGGAGCGTTGTTTTTTAGCCATTCTTGGTTCACTCGAGCTTTATGAGACAATGCTGAGTCCTGTTGAAACGTCCATAGTCTGCCACCGAAATGTTTGTCTGCACATGGCTTCAAAGCAATCTTCAGAATACTTTCCCGATAATATTGCGCATTTACCTTGACGCCAGGCTCGATACAAACGATTGGAGATCGCCCATCTGCGGTTACAGCGGCCCAAACCATTACCTGTCGCGGGTGTTGCCTCCTGGTGGCCAATCAATGGCTCAAATTCTTGTCTGAACGTTCAGTCAAGTAAACCCTATCGTTTTGAGAATTTACGAATTGCTCAATTGTGAAAATTTGCTCGTCGGAAAACACAATGTTCGGAAATTTACCACTTTCGGCCAGGCGAAGCAACTCCTTAGCTCTCTGAAGTCTCACTTGCTGCTGCTTCGGCGTAAGATCATGTGCCTTTTGGATCTTATAAGGCTTGACCTTGAGATCATTTTTCAGTATGCGGCGGATGCTACGGTCAGATATGTTAAGATCTTTTGCCATTTGATTGGCACTTCGTCGGGGATTTCGCCCGAGTCGCTTTCTCACTTTTTTGACCATCTCATGTGACGTTGCAGTCTTTTGGTGACCACCTCCATGACGTTTTGCGATGCTGCTACCAGTTTCATTGTAACGAGTTATAGTGCGATAAACGAAAACTTTATTCACTTTAAGGTGTTTGAGCCCTCGAACAATCGCTGGTTGTGATTTTCCAGCTAAATATAATGTATTCACACTGTTACGTTTGAAATCCATTACTGATTTCTTTTTTTCGCGTTCACTGTCGACAAAATACTTTCGTGCGCTTATAAACAATACATCAAACTGTTATTTAGCTAACTTATTGATAGTTGGTACCCGTGCATCAGCTACGCGAGCGGTTTGAAGTTGGTTACACTTCGAGTGCCGGACCCTGTATTAATTGCAGTGTATAATTTTTAATATATAATTTTATTGAACATATTTTAACATTTGTTAAAGTGATAATTAAAGTGGTAACTGTAGAAATTGAGAATCATCAATTTATTTGAAACAGTTCTACATTTAACATCACTCATATTTGTGTAAATAGTAATTCGAAAAACAATAATTATTAGTTTTAACTGAACGGTGTAAATATTAGTATAGGATATTAACAAAATGTAGATGTGGGTACAGGACAACGTCTGTCGGGTCATCTAGTATATATATAAACAGTGACTCAGGAAGATGATCAAATGTTTGAAATATTATCACCAACTCGTCTTAATTCTATGTTTCTTGTCAATACGAATTTATAACTTTATCAGAAAACTCTATTCCTTATTTACAATCCCTAAATTCTTTCCTACTTGTATTGCAAACATAATTCACTCAGTCCTTACAAGCCTCACAGGACCACTTGATCGATTTTGTGAATTTTAATCACACTCTCAAACAGTAAGTAAAAAGCCAAATAAATTCTTTGTTACTGTTTTCAGAATGTGAGGAATTAGTTCCTTACATTTTGAAAAATAAGTCATTTAATTTTGTTGACATTTTAGAATACATTACATTATTTGAATTGAAATTGTTTCGCAGTGAAGACTATGTTGGAAAATATTCGAAAAGCTATACTTGATGAGCTTCAAAAAGAATGTTCCCGTCGTTTTTTAGGTCAAAAATATTGATATTCAATAGGAACTATAATATAAAATTCGAAAAATTAATGCAACCCATTCGAGAAGTCAAAAGGAATAACTCAGGCCTTAAACCAATACACTCAGATGCCTTCAAGCGCGGTATTGGTTGTTCTATTCGTTCAGAGAAAGTCGATAATGCAGTTGAAATACAAAGTAAACTTAGACGAATTGGTAATATCGACATCGCTGCAAAAGAAGTTCGCCGTGTCCAAAAGGATGCTGGCTGCGAGGGAGAGCTAGAGTTAAAAAGTCCCTGTTAACAAATAGTCATAAAAAACTAAGATTAGCGTTCGCCAAAAAAATGTCCACTTCACAGTAAATGATTGAACAAATGGCATATGGTCTGATACCAAAATTATTCGATTTGGGTCTGATGATAAGGAGTGGATGTGAAAAGGGTAAAATGTACCATTACGGACAAGACATATTAAACTAACATTACATTTAGTGGTAGATGTGTAATGATATGGGAATGCATTATATCAGACGAGATTTGTTTGATAGAGAAAATAGAAGGGAAAATGACTTCAGTAGACTACGTTAAATCAAAACTTATAATATAGATCAAATGAATATATATAAAAATTTTTTTATTTTTTTCTTTAAATAAAAGTTCCTGCGTAATATTTTAGTACCAATAGTTTGATAATTCAAGTATTCAAAACGTCAAGAAACAGGTTATCAATTGCTAATCATATGCGATTTGATATATATATATATATATATATATATATATATATATGTATATATATATATATATATGTGTGTGTGTGTGTGTAGTTTAGCTATTACCATAAAAATACTTTGTTTGTAAAGGATCAGACCCATCTTTATTCCAAGGAAATTCATCATCACTACATCCCATTGGAAGACCGTTATATCCTACTCCAACAATTCTTTTTTCGTCGTTAACAATGCAAGCCCCTACCTGTAAAATAAAATAATTAACTTAATTATCGTTAAAATCGAACCTTGTAAAGTTCTTCGTTTCTTTGCCAATTCATTGAATCTGCTGAATTATAACTTAAACACCACACATTGATACTCTTAGGTAATTCTGAAATATCCTCTCAGATACATGTTTAGTTTAGTTAGATCCAGCATTTACCACTCTACTTATTTCCTCCCCAAATGAAAAATTGCGCAACATACTATTTATCCACTGACATTTTGACACATCAATCTTTTAATTTATTTTCAATAAATAACTAACTAAAACAATTTTAGGAAATGGATATGATGTAAAACTTATATAAACTGTACCTAATAAAAACGTATTTTCTTTAACCAAATATTTTTTTTTCTTTTAATTCAACTATCAACAATAATAATAATAATATAAGTTTATTAACTACAGGAAGTGTAAGTTAAAGTAATCGTCCAAAACTCGAAATAATTTTTTTTTTGCATATCTTTACGTTTCAGGTTTTGAACGTTTTGGCATATGTTATACTTAGAAAAAATGAATGTATGTATGGTGTGTATTTTAAGGGAATACAATTTTTCGTCCACAATTTCGGGCGCGCGCGAATGAACCGATTTGAATTATGCCTTTAAAAAAACTTTTCTATCGATGGAGAGACGTGCTTATTAGCTTTTAGCAAAGACAGGTTAAGCTATTTTAGAGATGTGGAACAAAGAAAGAAGAAAATAGAAATTAAATTTTTAAGAGAAGATTCAGATATTACTATCTATTCCTCGATAAATTCTGCGAAATTATAACTGGGAAAATGTTATTCGGCAAAATGTCCCTTTGATCGATACCACATTTAGGTTTTGAATTTGAATAACATAAATAAAAAATAATATAACCTAGAAAATGATTTATAAATACCAATGAGTATATAATTATACAGATGAGATCTATCAGAGCACCGTGTTTGAGAAAAATATGCCAAAAATTGCATTTTCATATTAACATTTCAAACGAGTTGATATTTTGAGTTTCTAGCAACACTTGCAGCCCGTTTACTAACATTATATTATATATAAAGAAATTTAAATAAGGCACAGATCAGGGGTGGTTCTAAATTAGGTAGGGTCCCGATCCGGCAACCGTACTTGGCCCGCATGCGGTATATTACGCCTAATGGCTGCGGTTCAAGTAGTAAGTATTAAATATAGGTTTATGTATTTATAAGAAAATTGGATTATAACACAGGTAGTAATTTTAGAAATCATATTCATAAAAATCTCAAGTACAAGATCTTCGGAAACAAAGTTGTTTGAAAATTGCTTATAAAGCTCACATTATGTTATTTTACATCCACATAAGTACAGTTTAAATAGATATGGAAGTAATCATTTCGAATATATACAGTACAATCTATTTACAATACAAATTTTTCATTACAATACTATAAGGAGTTTTGTAGTTATATGGTCCATGACATTTATATTTTTAGAGTTTGACAAATATCACAGTTCACAGAAGAATGGAAAGCGATCAGCAGTACGAACTTGCATTATATTACATGATTTCATCATCCGAATAGGCTTTCTAATGCATAGAAAGAAGTTTTTCCTGCAATCCAATTTGCAATGAAAAAATTAAAATAGTTAAACATGTCCTACATGGTAATAATAGAATTTTTACAGAATTTTTCTTATGTTGTTTAGATACTAATGCTGTTATTCATTGAGTCTTTTCCCAATTACTTCCCGAGCATACTACATAGTGGTCATGGTGATAATAAAGACACCACAAATTTGGATACACAGTTGTAGAAAAGGAAAATCAAAATAAACACATTGAAATTTATCACAATATGTACTCATGTTGAAAATCTACGTATGTTCAAGCAAATTCATAAAGAAGATTTTATATAGCTATATAACAATCGGGGTAAAACGTTAAAAAGGCTGTACAAATTGGGCCAGTCTTAGTTGCATAATTTTATATTTATTAGTATTTATAAAACATTTTCTAGATTATATAATTATTTTATTTAGATTATTTAAATTAAAAACCTAAATTTGGAATCGATCAAAGGGGACATTTTGTCGAATAACTTATTCCCAGATATAACAGACCACTACTTAAATAAGAAAATTCGGTTGATAATATAACTTTGGAACACACACCTGTAAAAATGTCAATGCACATAATTACAAGTTCTCCGGAATAAAATATTTTGAAAATTGATTATAATGCTCGCATTCAATTAAATGTATGGACAGTTCGGGTACTAGAACAAGTATAGCAGAAAAATAAGTACAATTCTGAAGGAATTCCTTTCAAAAGATATGTCAAAATCCATGCATTTTAGACACAGTCAGGTATCATTCATGTTTTATTAAATCACTCTACAAATTGAAAAAGATGAAGAACTTCAACAATCATTGGATAATGCAATGTAAAATATAATTCACTAATGGTTATTTTCCACTAATTTTGAAGAATAAACTGGAAACATTTTCTATGAATTTATCGAAGAATGGATAGTAACATATGAAGATCTGGAGTTAATAAGATCCGCCACCAATATCTCAAAAACCAGTAAAGTTTAGCATTGTTCAACAACAATATTTGAAAGTAGAGGGGAAAAGATGTATAATCAGCTATAACCTTGATTCTTATGACTTTGCTATCAGGAGATAAACGGTAATCTTTGAAAATCCATAACGAAAGTATTTCCTTTTGTTGTTAGTTTTTTGGGGGATTTAGTTCTCAAGACCTTAATATAAGTTTTAACTATTTAATTGTTTTATAAAATGTAATGTTAATTTTGAGTGAGATATAACCACTTTAAAAACTAACATCTGTCTGGGGCAAAAATGACCACGGCTAAAGATTATAAAAGACTTGGATTGAATTATACTATATTTTTATAGAAAGTATATAAAACTTCCAGTTTGATTGTATTAACAAAATATGGTCAAACGAATATTGTTATTATGAATTATATAATTTATTATTATACAAGTAGACTTTGGAGTTTATTGTGTTTATAATACCTCATTGTCTGTACCATTCAAACTATACATCCTTACACTCCTAAAATAAAGTATTTTTTTTTATTCTTTAGAAGTTGCTTAGAAATACCTAACTTAGCAAAACTACGTTTTCCGGGTCAGCTAGTATATATATATATATATATATATATATATATATATATATAATATTGTATAACTCGATTTATATACAACATTTTCAAATTAGACTACAATAAATAAAAAAAATGAATAAAGATTACAATAATTGTTGTTATCCTTTGTATACTTAAATATTTATGAATTTAGCGTAAAAAATCCTTTTTTCCGCTCATCAGCATTATTAAATGTCACATATAGACTAAAAAATGTTAATTTCTATTATCATTATGAAAAAATTGCTTATACGGTATAAAACATGGTGCATACTATCAGGCCGGATGGTAGCCGAGTTTTTTAACCCTGCTGATGTTGGTATGCCAGGTACACGTCTGCTGTGATAAATATAAGCTTTAGATACTATAAGGAATAAAATATGTGAATAGCAGACATCATCAAATACATTCAAAAAAATTTTTTTCTACATTTTCAAAATCGTCTGCCACCATATTAACCGCACGATAATCGTCTGCCATTGGTATTTTCCGATAGTAACAATATTATATTTTCAAATTCTCGAAACGGCAGCCGTCGTAAAATGGTTCGGATATGGGGGAAAAAAAGGTACCTTTATCAGCTGCGCAGTAGCTGTGTCCGCCACTTTGGGCTTAGTCAGTCCCCATCTCATGTAGTATAGGTATAGAGGAATCGATGCACAAAATTCCAGGTGTCGTAAAATACATACTGTCATCCGCCCACGGGCTCTCTCGATCTAGTACGCGGGCTATGCCTGTAATATTTACATTTGGCCTAGCAATCGCACGCGGACTCTGTTTGTCATTGTAAATTGCGAATTTAAAATAAGACATTGAACCTGTTTGCGCTCAGTTTGCCACCTGATAAAAATAAATTTTTGAAAAAGAGCAAAAAAAAAACGAATTTCTACAGTGGTGAAGTAGCTGGGAGTTTTACTGAGCATAGTCAGATAATTGTTGACGTGAGTTATTTGTTGTGATATAATTGATTTAGTTTTCACAACATAATTTATATTTGCTCAAAATGAAATTAGACTGTTGTGCTCAGCCCTACCACCCTATATATATATACTTTTTATTAAATTTACTTTAATTCATAAAATGTCCTTTGGTCTTTTCAAAAAAGGAGGTCAAAAGGTTTGAATATTTTATTTTTAGTGTTATTTACAATTATACACAAAATCCAGGATTAAAAAAGTATCAATATTCAATTAATTGGAGTTTATAAATACTATATAACTAAAAATATCAAATAAGACTTGGTTTGGATTAAAGCATGTTTTCCATGGCAGTGGGTATATAACCAGTTTGATTGTTTCAACAAAATGTGCTCAAACGAATATTGTAAATATAAATTACATTATATCAAACAAGTAGAGTTTGATGCTTTATTGTTTTTATATTACCTCATCGTCTATAGCACTCATATAAAACATTCTTACAAACTTAAAATAAAGTATTAATTTTTTAAATTCTCTAGAAATTGTGTAGATATACCTCACTTCTTTAAGCAACGTTTGCCGGGTAAGCTGGTATAATATATACGTATACATGTAATTAAATGAATTGTGGTAAATGTTGAATGAGGAATTTCAATTTATAGATTATATATACGAGGTGTGTTCAAAAAGTACCCGGAATTACTAATAATTAAATTTCGCGGGTCTGGAGTGTCTGATTGTCAAATTTTTTTTTTTATTGTGTTGGTATACATGCCCCTAAAGTATGATGAAATTTTCAGCTATATTCACTGTTTACTTTGTCTGTGGTAGTCGCTAAGGTTCGACGTGTTTTTCTGAGCTCGGCGATTTTTACAATGGGAGAATTGAAAAGTCAAAGAATTTGTATTAAATTTTGCGTA